TCGAGCTCCAGCAACCACTCAGTCGATCCACTCTTGTTTTTTGTGATAATGTGAGTGCAGTCTACCTCTCTGCAAATCCTGTTAAGCATCAGCGCACGAAGCACATCGAGGTTGACATACACTTCGTTAGAGACCGCGTGGCTCTCGGACAGGTCCGCGTACTACATGTCCCTTCGTCTCTCCAGTATGCTGATATCTTCACGAAGGGTCTTCCATCCATCATTTTTTCAGAATTCCGGGATTGATTGGGCGTTCGGCGTTCCGCACCAGTGCCGTTGGGAGCATCTTAATTATATTAAGTATATATTTAGTATCTTGTGTATATAGTAGTTTCCATACATGTATAGTCTTTATTAATTAAGGATTCCTAACATAGTAGGTTTCCTTTTATAACTAGGACTACTCTACTATATAATATCCCTTGTATTCCCACATTATGATCATTGGAATATATCAATTCTTCAATTATGACCTGAAATGCCCGTAATTCCAACATATAATACTATATAACAAACACTACAAAATTCCAACATACAAAGTCACATTATCACACTATAATAATTTTATTTTAGAGATAAAAATATGTCACTCATGTTTTATGATAAAACCTGTATTTTGGTCATATATCTTGGATGTTTTCTTCAAAGTTAAACAAAGCGGCTAGAAATAGTACAATTAAAGTAGAAATTCATATCGGGAATGATGAGAGCATATTTTTTTCTTTGTATAAAGGTTAAACATATGTTTTAATCATTTAATTAATTCTACGTATTTAATTTCAAATAATCAAATTCAAATTCTGTTTTGTGCAGCTAAACCTTCTTTGTACAATTAATTTCACGATTCCTTTTTCTTCTTCTTCTTTGGTTATAAAATATGTACTCGCATATGTTTAAGAACTCTAAATGTCCGTTTGGTACACGAAATTGATGGAATTGGGATTGAATTAGAATTAAAATTCAATGGGATTCAATTCCATAGAATTGAATTCACCAATTCCAATTCATTTTTTGCACTACCAATTCCAAATCCACATAATTTTTGTGCTGCCAAACATGAGAATTGGAATTGAAGCCTCAATTCCAATTCCATAGTTTGAATTCCGTGTACCAAACGGGGCCTAATTAACCACTTTTGCCTTCAAATACAACTTGAGTTTGAACCGGTAGTTGAACTTCAACTACATCCGACTTAGCCGGACCAGACACAGACCGGTACGTTGGAAAAGGAGAAAGCGGCGACGATCTCCGCTTGTCAGATGACTTCCTCTTGAGAAACCCATAAGACGACGACGAGCTTTGGCGTCCAGTTGATGATGTTACACTCTTCCAATTGTATTGATCCTTCTTCAAATGAAAATAATGTGACAAAAGAAATGGTCAGAATAATGTATAGAATCACCCTAAATATGACTAAAATATAGAGAAGAATACCAAAATAGGACTTTAATGTTTTTTTCCCCGAAATAAGACTTTGCAATGTTGTAATGTGACACTGTACATGTACGCATTACTATACTTTTTTGGTAATGCAAATGACCATGTTTGGTTACGTAAGTTTTATTATATTTCAGGAATAATAATATAGAAATCTTATTTTGATATATTTTTAATGTTTTGGTCCTACTTTGGTCATTCTCCTAATAATGTATGCCGTCCATGAGTACTTTTTTCCAGTTTTCACTTTTTCAGTCGAAATTGACAAACTGTGGCCATTAATTAAATGTGCCAAATTGTGACAATTATTGTGAAATGAATGAATGAACTACCTTGGGACTTTGTTGGGTGCCATTGTTTTGGGATGGAGAAGGGGCAAAAAAGTCAAGCATCTTGGCCTGCCCTAATTCAGTGCCATTGTGCCAATAATATATGGCCAAGTTCCATGCAGTTTCTCTCAAGTTGGAGAATCTTCCATCGATGTCCACTTTATGCTTTTTAACCAAAGGAGTCAACATTGTTTCGTATATATATGTTGTCCCCTGCACTAGAAAGGAAAAGATACATGCTTTAATTAGTTTTTGATTGAGCCGGTTCCTTAGGTGAAAACCGGTTCAAGGCTCAACCGGACCGGTGACGCGTTAAGGTATATTATCTGAATTTCCAGTTACAAGTTTGAGTTTGTGACTGAATTCAATGTTTGAATAAACATTTCTTCGTGTTTCACACACAGACGCGCATGAGATCACGTAATGGTATATGAAAATAATTATCTGAATATTCAATCATAAGTTAGAATTTTGAGTTCGGAGAGGGTGCAATTGCCATTAACCATATGTACCTTTGTTTTGGGATGCCACAAGTAAATGAAGAGTGCCAACTTCAACTCGGTATACATTGGCATCCTAAGCATAGTATATAAATGGTCAACAAATATATAATGAGTCGCCCTTCAGTAACTATATGTGGAAAAAATAGTCATATTTGGGCTAAATGACTATTTATGGAATAATTTTTAAAAATTTGAAGAATCGTTTATGTAAAATATCTTTGAATTGAAACTAACTAAGAAAAATCATCCGTAATTAGAGATCGTTTTTAGAATTTATTTTTTAAAATAGAAGAAATACAAAATTTATTCAGAAGGACAAAGAAAGAAGTTATATTGGGATGAGAGTATATATATTTGGTATATAGAGTAAATATTGCATACCATGACATGGAAAGATCACAAATGCTCTCCAAAACTCTAACCAATGCCACAATTATCCTACCAAGGAATAAACCGAAACATAAATTTTTTTTATTTAATTAATATCTTGACATAATATCAGAGCTTCGTTTGACTAAAAAGTCACGAGTCTGAACTTCACCGCACACCTATTTTTAAAATAAATTAGATAAAATTTATGAGTAGATAGATACCAATATTGACACCAAAAGCGAAGCTCAGCATTATCCCCTCTGTTTTTGTCCACACTTTTGAAGCATTCAATGGCAGGGTATGCATACCCAAGAACCAACCTGTATTGTATTGTAAATTTAGGGAGTTAATCACTTTTGATATAACTCAAGAGTGATATCCAAAATCAACTAAATCTTGTGGCATGCCATTGACAAGGTGTGGGGTATGTTTAGGCCAGTGGTGGGGGGTTTACCGGAAAGTTAGGGGATAGGAACCATTGAATTTTTGAACGGATCATCATATTAACCTCGGGTCATCCCATGACATTGAATCTGAATGTCATGGGAACCAAGATGATTAACTTGTATTAATAGTATATGAGAGGTATATAGGGAGGTGAGTGCATACACAAGGCTACTGGTTACCAATTCTCCCAACATCTTCTTCACCAAAGCCCAAATCCAATCCCTACCAAGAAACCATTAAAATCACTCTATATCAAACTCACTGTAAATACATACATAAGCAATCTTGTAGGATTTTACACAAATTGAACTCATTTCATCTCTCCCAAAAAAAATTTCTCATTTATATTTAAAAATCGCTTTTACCATTACTAATTTTTGACTTACATATCACATCATATCTATTCACTGTTAATCTACTTATCAAATCCTACTTTTACCCATTACATCCAAGGACATTTTTGGAAACTCAACACCAAAATAAACTCTCCTTAAATCTCTTAAAAATCAAAACTTCTCATGTTTTTTAGGACAGGGGCATTATTAAGACGAATAATTCAAATAAATATATATTTAAGAAAAAAAACAATTAGTGATATATAGAACAATGTTAAGATTGAACTAACCTTTCCTAAAAGCAGAAGTAAACCCCAGACAGAAGCAAGGCTATGCTATAATTCCTTAGCTTCCTTCCCTATGATATGACCAAGAAATTCACAATTAATTTAAAAAGAAATAATTAAACTATGATGAACCCGAATCGGAAACAGTTATGTTAGATCAAATAAAAAAAGAAATAAAATAAAGTCCACCATATATATATCTATAGAATACTAATTAATTAATTGGATAATTAAGAAGGGAAGAAGATATACAATGAGATGAGAGATCAAAGTATATTCTTAACTGAAGGATGAACAAAGAAGCAAGAATATATACATATATAAATACCTCATTTGCTGCCAAGAATTTAATAATAATCATATAATGGAAGATGTGTATCTATATATGAAGAAAGAAACTTGAGATGGAAGAGAAGGAGAAAGTAGTAATTTAAATGCTCACATTATCTCTCATCTCCTCTCTGTTAGTTGCGTGTATTAGATGTAATCATAAAGCACAGGTGGAAATAAGTAAATTTAATATTTTAGTCCGATCTAAATTGTCAAGAAACTAACTGCTCAAGCTTGTAGTTGTGGCCTAAGAATTATATATATATATATATATATATATATATATATATATATATATATATATATACTCTAACACGCCCCTCACGTGCTATCTCTTTGAGCCTTGCACGTGAAACTTTATTAAAACTAGGCGGCGGTAAGTTTCAAACTCGTGATCTTTTAGTCAACAAGGTTCTGATATCATGTCAAATAACCAAATCAACTAAAAACTCAAACTTGAGATTGTGGTTTAGAAAAGGTTTTAAATATACTTTGAAATATAGATATTGGAGTATAAGTAAGATAAAATAAAAATATTGAAGAGAAAAGCACTTATTAATTGTTATAGGTACTTTGTATAAGGAGGGAGAAGACGGGGGGGGGGGGATTTGGAATGGGCAGAAAGTGATTAGTATATTTCTTGCATCGGACTCCTTCGCCTCTCTTTAACACGTAATAATGTCAATGATAATGTCCGCGCATTTCCCGGGGTACACATGTAGTGCACTTTACTAATGCCAAACAAGTTTATGGGCGTTGTCTAGTTAGTAAAGGGCGAGAGTGTCATATAATGCGCGGGAGTCAACTATCTTAAATATATGATATCTGCAAGTACCAGGTGTAAGCTTTACTCCCTGTCACCAACCAGCAATTTAAGTCGAATTTATTTTACCTCAATGACCGTTTGGCCGGGTTTGATGGGATCCTCGGGATGGGGCTCATCTAGGGGTGTATACGAAGCAAATATATCACTATTCGATTAAAGTGATATGTATTCGAATTCGTATATAATTCGAATTTTAAAAAACATTCGTATTCGATTCGATAGATATTTGACATACTCCCTCCGTCCCCCTGTATTTGTCCACTTTCAGTTTTGCACACCATCCAATGCACTTCTTTAATCCATTTTATCTTGTAATTTGTATATTAAAAAATTATAAAAATTATATATTAATAATCTATATGTTAAGACAAATCAAACAAGATCACACATGACTATATTTAGGCTTACACATTGAGAGAATTTGATGAGTCAAAGTGCTTAAATGAACAGTTCCAAAAGTCAAAAGTGGACGAATATAGGGGGACGGAGGGAGTATTTGAATTCGTATTCGAATATTTGAATTCGAAAATATTAGTAGTTTTTTTCTTAAAACAAATTTACATTAAATTATTATTTTATAATAATGTAAAATGTAGTAAAAATTAAAATGTAGTAAAAATATGTTAGAATATATATAAATTTATTTATAAATTATAATATTCAAATATATATAAATTTATATGTACACAAATATTTAATATATTAGAATATATATAAATTTATTTATAAATTATAATATTCGAAAAATTTGAATAATAAACGAATCGAATCTATTAATATTTGTATTCGAATTCGAAAATAATTCGAATCTAAAATATGATTTGTATTCAGATTCGAATTCGAATATATTAGCGAATACGAATCATCTTTTTCGAATATGAATCACAAATCGAATACATTTTATTTGATTTGTATGCACCCCAGGCTTATCCTTTAGTAGTGCCAAACAATCCCATTTTTTTTCATGTTACTAATATTTTAACTCGTGTCATATAAAGGTGAAATGAATTTTTTTTCGAGTACGAGGATTTTGATTCAAGGCCGCCCTTTATGTAATTTCGATGGAATTTTAAAGGCTCAAGGTTTGTACCCCAATTTGTACTCCGCAGTTTTGCACCAACACTTTGTGTTGGTGTAAAACTAATTTTTGTTAAATGCACCAACATTTGTGTCCGTGTGAATATTTATTAACGCACCAACACTTGTGTCGGTGTAAACCATCGAAATGTTTGTGCAAGCTTGTGGTGTACAAATAAGGTATATTTTTTGGTGTAAGTGTAACATGGTCCAATTTTAAATTGCTAAAATATTTGTAACTATTACGGAGTATTTGCTTTCGCACTGTTAAACTCGGATACTTTAATTTTTTTCAATGATTACATATTTGGGTTTCAAATTTTAAATGGTTTTTATTACTCCGTATATTCTAAGTATTACTCCACTTGATACCAAACTTGTTGCACCCCAATTCGTTTACCCGCCGGGCCGGGTTACACGGATCCAAGTGTTACATTATTTGTATATATTTTATATATTTGAGATATTTTATTTTGTTTATGGAGTATCACTTATTTTAATTTTTTTAAAAAATAATGTAAAGTACCTTTTCATTATATTGACCGAACCTTATTTGTATTAAACTTAAATATTGAAGTATGAATATACTTGCATAAAAATTATATTTCAAAGATATTATAATTCTAGTCTTAGTCTGTTTCAGTCCAGTCTTTCCAAGGTCAACGGACCTGGTTCAGTCTAGTCCTTCACTAATATTTAAGGACTAAATGAGACTACCGGTTCAAGACAGTACCGGACCAGTCTCAAGTACCATTTTAATCAAATATTTTTCGTTCCAAGTCTCAATTTATCCCGATTTATTATTTCGATGCTAATTTTTTTGTTCATCTCTAGATGATACACTGTAGCATTTTTAAAAAGTATAGGTTGAAAAGAACTCTAACTTTTTTTTATCAAGATACTCAACTTAAGTAACTCATAAATGCTCATTACATTAGAAAAAACTGTTATATGAAGAAACTAGAAACATTGAACTTACACTGTTGTTTTTTTGTTTGAAAACATATATGCAAATACTCAAGTACCCAACACATATAAATACACAGAAAAAAGAGAGGAGCCAAGATAGATAGTAGCCAAAAATATAAACCAATTTTCTCTGAAAATTTGAAGCACCATGTCAAATGAGTTATTTCCTATTATCACTATTACGTTACTAATCCTCTTGGCAAGAAGTGCCACCTCAATGGCGGCCCGCGGCGGCGGCACAGCTGCGCCGGCACCAGACTCGGCGGGGCTAGAGGAATGTTATAAGATGGCAAGAGATATGAAGTGCAATGATGAATTTGTGGCTGGCGCCGCCAAAAAAGGCAGGGTGGTCAAACGTTGTTGTGGTGTCCTCAAAGAAGTGGGAAATAATTGTTTCACTGCGATTCTAAAGTATTATGAGGAATCTGGCCCTAAAAATGTCGATTGGATTGCATTTTGGGACAATAGTTCCAAGATTCTGAACCAATGTCAAATGTCATAAAAAAAATGTTTGTTATTATTAATGTGCATAATTAATAAAAATGAGTAAATTTTATAAATGGTTCATAACTAAAAGTGATTTTCTATATTTAATCTCCAGTTATAAGATATTACATAAAGAGTTTCAATATTTAAAAATTATTCCATAAATAGACATTTAAGCTAAATATGACAATATATTTTCCACAAATAGTTCCTAAATGATCGATTACGGAAATTTTAAAAAACTAAGGACCATTTATGTAATATCTTAAAATTGAGGACTAAATGTAAAAAAATACTTGTATTTATGAACTATTTTATGAAATTTAGTCTTAATAAATCTATTAAACGTTCCAATTAATTAATGCAAAATAAATGTAGTAGCAAACAATTAAAGTGCACGTTTTTTTCTTCATCAAGTAGTCATAAAACGTCAACTAATGAAAACAAATTCATACACAAAGAACTCCTTTGATAAGGCTTAAAATGGCTAAACAGGTTGAACCTGCTAAAATGGCTGAATTTGTGAATGAAAGACTTGAATTTGTTGAACACTTTAACCTATTGGATACTTAAAAGATTCTGTTAAAAGACGAAGGGTCCGTTTGATATAAGAAATTGATAGAATTGGAATTGAATTGAAATTGTAATTCCATGGGATTCAATTCCATAGAATTGAATTCTGTCAATTTCAATTCATTTTTTGCACTATCAATTTCAAATCTACATAATTTTTGTGTTACCAAACACTAGAATTAGAATTAAAGTCTCTAATTCCAATTTTATAGTTTGAATTCCATGTACCAAACGGAGCCTAAGGGAAAATTCCATGGATGAAATAAAGTAATCCATAAAAAATGCAAAATTACAATTTCGCCAATTTTAGCTAAAAAAAGTATCTCCAACACTGCACTCTTCAAACATTTACCAGTTTAACCGCGTGGTAAAATAATTAGTGCAAAAAGTTAAATTTACTAAAGTCATTTTATACTAATATAAATTACGGAGTATAATTTTAATTTTATTAAATTCTAAAGTTTATCCAATTTGGGACGAAAATAGTATACCATATTTACAACTTACCGACCGTAGTTACCAAACTAAGGGTTATTTAGTAGGACTCAGTAAGTTTAGTACTTGGTACATTTCAATATCATTCAATTTATTTCAGTTTCATTCCAGTATTACAAATCAAGACTAGAACTCATTCAATTCAACTGTCCAATTAAAATATCTCATGAATTTGCTATAAGCCATATATTTCATAAAACTCTCCAGCAAACTAATGAGGAGATTCATCCGTTTGAGAAGAAAACAAGTTGTACAAAGAAATGCAATAACTTTAAACTTCACAGATAAACAATCACATCAAAAACAATATTTTTTTTCCCTTGAATAAAATGCTGCCAATATCCCCACCCTACAAATGACAGCAATTTAGTAATTTACCTCTGTAATCGCGACGGGCTGAGTAGTTTCTTGGTTCTTGACACATTGCTCTTGTTTGTATGCTCCTCGTTGTGGTTCCAGTTGTATAGAAGTATTACCAAGCCTTGTTTCTTAAAGAACCAAAGCCAATCAAATTTAGCGATGACGTGAAGCAGGTCCCAGAAACTAGCATCTGATGAAGTTGCCTGCCGTATACCTATCTATTCATCTTGGTGCCAAATTTACAGCAGTAGGTACATGAGCAGCAACGGATGGAGTATCTGGCTGTGGTGTAGCTATCTCAGATATTCCAAATTCATGAAGCATACTCTCCACACCCCAATCGATGGAACCTGACGCAAAAAAAAAGAATTTTAAGAGTTAATAGAAATTTTTGTTTCTCAATAAAGAAATATGGGTAAATCTCTAATAACCAGTTCAAACAAGGATACCATCTGTCTTCCACATATCAGTCAAGCTAACATCAGCATCTGAGAGGAGCCAATAATCTGCTTCCTCGTTCTGTGAAAAGAAATTTAATATTTTAAACCAGGAATATTTAAATGGAACGAGGTGTGTGAAGGGAAAGGAATAGATAAATGCTTCCTCTAATTACTCCTTGTGAAAGTCACAACAAGAAGAGCATTTGGTGTACAATGTTGCAACTATGCATCTTCTTTCTTTCTTCTTTTTTTTTGCAATAATCTATGGTATTAGATATTAAGGTGCTGATGCTGCAGCTGCTGATAATGATGATGTTTTCTTTTTTGAAGAAATGGAAAAGGTCTGAAAGCTCCATTAGAAGTTATAAGGCAAACTGTTAAATCACTCATTATATGTTTTTACACTCACGTCAGCATCAGAAGGGACAATTTTTGTCATTCCTCCATTGAATTCCTGTGAAGCACCAAGATCACAGCTTATTTGGCTATCATCATGTGTTTGTGATCCAATATCTGGCAGACTATTGGTCATAGCTGATAAATCCACTGAGATATTATCATTTGAGCTTGAACTTGAAGCAACTGGGACACTCATTGATGGTTCAACTTCAACACCAGTCATCTCCTCAAATTTATCCTCAAATTGACTGAAAAAGGATGCAGTTAAAAAGAATATGAGATAAGAGACTCGCTTGCTTCAACAGTCAGGATGAATCTTTAAAGAAATTGAGCTAATAAGGCATTCCAATCAAATATTCCAGGCACAAGTAAAAGAGTTGTGGCTTTACCTGACAAGGTAAACATCAATAGGGCCCATTGTGCTTCTGAGAATTATTCTGTATCTCCTCCTGGGGTAATCTACTGCCTGTTGTTTCAGAAAGAACAAAATAATAAGGTGCATCCACCACCTCAAAATTAACACAAGACAGAGGTGTTTTTTTACAAACCTCATCAGGCTCTGGGACTTCCAAAGTGGTCCCATGTGGAGCTTTAATTGCTATCAATGTTTCACTCTGTCAAACCAAGAATCAATAAAGTTGGTATCCAGTACATTTGAATCACAAGCATGGCTACACTCTGTAACACTGATGTCTTTTACATGGAAAATGTCATTTTCATTGTCACCGCCACCTTAATCACAACTATTATGGGGGTTGGTGTCACGAAATTTATTGTCAATGACGCCTAAAACAACAAACCCAATACAACCACACAAAAAAGTGAGGTATGGGGAGGGACATTGTTATCAAGTCGCCAACTAGTCGTCCGGTCGTTTTCTGGGTGGCGACTTGCATCTTGACTAGTGACTTGGGTGGACTAGTCATCCGGGCGAGCAAAGCGACGACTAGTCGTGCTTAAGCGACAACTAGCCGCTGACAGAAAATCCAACCCGACCCGACCCAAATGTCATTAAATTAAAAAAACTACATAAAACATTGCCTCCCTCGGTTCACAGTACAACCGCAGTCGACTTTAACCCTTCTCAAATCCCAACGTCTCTTTCATCATCATCTTACACAATGGAAGAAAATAGTCATGGTGGTATAACGTTGGATGATTATATTTGATAACTCAAAACATGGAATTAAATCTTTTAATATGTTCTTTGTCTTCTTTTTGTGCTTATTATCTTTGGTGGTGTGTTGTTTTTTAAGATAGAAGGATATTCCTTTCTTATGCATAATGATATTTCGTTAAAGGCAAAGAAAGGCACACAAGGAAAAGAAGCCACTCATCGTCTCATCGACACTAGCCATTATACTTTATACCCCAAGCATTGGAAACACACCAACCCAAACGCAAAAAGCACCCACACAAAATTACCCTCATGGCCCTAGAAGACTACACAACTACTTTAGTCGTCTTCAATAAGGTCTAAAACAAGTTCGCAATACAAATTCATGAACAAAAAAGTAAACAAGATGAGTGAAACTCATAAACCAATAAACCATCACCATCATCGTCATCACAGGTTTATGAACTACAAGGAAATTATCATGAATCATCAATGAGTTGAAATGATTGCTATATGAAACACAGAAGTACCTGAAAGCAAGGTAGAGTTTTTATATCCTCTTCAGTTACAAATAGCCATCTAGAAACATTCATTATTAAACAGCTGCATCAGTAAAGATTTTAAATTGCATAGACAAGAGATACTCTTTGCTGAGGGCATTGTATTTACCTTTTATATTTTTCATTTTCGCTTAAGCCCCTTAGCTTTTCCTGCATTTCTCTGCATTTACCAGAACCATCAACACAATGCGCAGCATCAATAGTCTCGAGTACATATCTAATAACCATTTACCGTATACGTTCATCCAGCCTTTGTTCTTCCATGGAAAGGTTATGAACTTCTGCCTGTAGAGTGAAGACAAAAGATGTAAGCTGAAAAGCAGCTTGACATACTAAAAAGAACATTTTAATGTTTATGTTTTGGATTTTTACACATGATTGCATGATTGCAACCATTCCATGTAGAGTTATTCTTTGTTGCGAGAATTAAAAAAAGTTTGGATTCAGGCAGCATCCTTCCACGTACCCGTAAAATTGAGGCATCAGAATCTACATCTTCAGGTCCAGAAGATTCCACTCCCCTATGCAAGACCATAATGCTTTGTCACATAACATTAAATACGCTTTTGTGGTAAAGATATACTGATTCAATAAAAAAACTGCCTTACTTCCATTTTATTATGTTCTTGAGCTTCTTTTCAATCAAACCAATTCCCTCAAGAACATTTGTTATATCATATATACGTCTCTTTTGCACCTGTATAATAAACTTCCAATTATAATTTAGTATGTGCATTGTCAATGTGACATAATACAGCAAAGCAAATACCTCCAAAGAGTCAGCAGCTTTGTTAAGATCAATAACACCATCTTCAGCATCCTTGATCAAGTTGATGAATTTTTTTGTTAGAAGCCCTGAAATCAATTCAAGTATGCTAGGGCCTCAAGTTTCATTAAAGATTTCTGTGCAATACAAGAACCCAAATGAAAGAGTGAGGGAATCACCTAAGGAGTTGTCATAGCGGCAGTTTGCAGGAGTCAGAGGGGAAGGACAACCTGTAAATTTGCAAAATTGTTTTGTTAATAAGCTTTTATATCATAACAATATAAACTCAAGACATGTAAGAGCATTTATGCATAGAAATAAAACTTGACATCTTGCAACAAAGAAGATGACTCGCCTGCATTGGACACGGGAGTTGCTGATCGAGACCTATAATTCTTTGTGGCTTTTGGCCTTGCGCAGGCTTTTTCATCTTTTACAGATACAGGTGTTCGGAGGGGGCTGTTGACCATATCAATGCACCTGGGACTAGCACTCCATTCACAAGACTCAGCTTCACAAGAACCCACTCTACCCTTTCGCTTGAATGCCTGACCAAAGCACAATGAAATTGCAATGTGAAAATGAGTCAGAAAAGAATAATTGAGAAATGTGAGGTTAGGAATTTCAAGCCACAAACCGTAGTCATCAAGTGGAAGTCTAAATTTCCTCACCCACAACTGACAACACTAAAGTTACACATCGATGAGAGCAAACCCGTACTTTACATTGGCAAAATATCAATTAAAGAGTACCCCAATAACAGCTCAGACTACTTAGCAATGTAAAATTTGATGATAACATCAAATGATCAACTTAAAAATTAAGCATATTAGCTTCAGTGCATAACACATCAATGAAGAATATTTTCTAATACAATGGAATTATCAGTTGTAATAGTCATACATTCATCCCTCAAGCTAGTCATTTTCAAATTTAAACCATTAAACTTCATTTGTTTTGTGCTTTGTGTGATGTTTTGGGTAGTAGATGCAGCACTGCATAAAGGGTCTAATGAAAACAGGGTCGCAATTTCTTTACATGGGTAAGGATCTGTACATCATGACCCCAACAACCAAATGGAGTTGGGATGATACTGATCTTTGTTGCTTTTGTTGTAGTGCTGAAGTGACAATGCCCTATGTTACCAGATTCAGCCTAGAGCTATGGGAAATGTTATAGGAAACTGCATTGCAACTCCTAAGAAACCAAGGACATAAAGTAGACGTGTATGATTAAATAGACGAATTTCTATATGTTGCTCGATATATGTGGTAATAGGACCCTAAGGAAGCTTCTGAGATTATTGATATTTGAAGTTCCCTTCAGTATCAAAAGCACTTATCTAATGGGAATAGTCAAAATCCCAAATTGATTTGAATTTCTTCAACTTCTTCGCTAATTCTAGAAAACCTGAGCTGAAAAAAAGACACTTCTCACACAACCACAAGTCCACAACATACTCTCACATTTGCTCACAAAACCACAACTAAACTATTAAACTCCTCGCAAATATATAAACACAAGCAAAAAAATAAAAAATGAAAAAAACAAGAGCTCACGGGGGACTTGAAAATAATAGCTTCCGCCGGGTGACCATTTTCCGTTGAGAGCCCAGCATCAGAACCTGGAGAGGAGAACTGGTGATAGTCATCCGGAGGCACAAACGGCGGCTTCATAGAAGCGAAGGCGAGGTGGCGCCTGGTTGGCCTGGGGATCTGGGTTCCTGCTACTCCATTAGCAGCCGGCGGAGCAAGTGGCGGCGCCGCCACTGTGGCAGGAGTTCGCGAGCCGGACATGAGTGTAAATGATCCGAATCGAGAGATCGATTGCTGCCCGGAGATGGAGATTCAATCGGAAACGAGAAGAGGCTTTGGTGGCGCGGGGGAGAGGGTTTGAGGGTTTCGGCGTGGCATCGTGGGGGACGGTAAGAGAGAGCCAACAAAAATCCAGCAAAGGGAGGGAATTTTAGTTCGGGATGAAATGGAGCCGTGGAGGGAAGCGCCATTGAAAGAAAAAAAAAATTGTTTTGAGGCATTAGTCCTCCTGCTATAATTAATTAATTATTACTTAAACTAGTATCACACCCGTGCGTTGCACGGGTCATTTTATGTTATTAAATTCAAATTATTTTTTAATGATAAAAATGAGATGCAAAAAAAAATATAGAGATTATAATATTTTAAGGTACAAAATATCACTGTTTTACAAATTTTGAAAGACTTCTTTATAAACTACATTATTTGTACAATTTGTGGGAATATTGTCTTCATTGCATATTAGAATTTTCAATCCACTATAATTAGTTATTCTTAAAACTGCAACATAGAGTTGTCCATGACTAAAACGTGTTGGATTATTGTTACGGAAACTGGTGATAAACCCTAACTACTCGCAGCTTCATCATTAACATTGATGACCTCTCATCAATGTTTTTCAAAGTAGTTAAGATCCTCATTTTCATATGAATGACAATTTTGAAACGTAGAGAAAAAAAAATTCACGATGAATATAGTGGCTACGAAAGATTTGTAAATAGATGTATTTATAATATGATTTTTGCATACAGGGTTAAAAAAATTTATTCATTTTTAGTGCTATACCGAATTTAAATTACTATTACTATATTTAATTTATTTAATTTATTATATTTAAAATTACTATGCATCATTATTCAATAATACCTTGTATTAATACTGTGTATTAATATATGGAAAGTTTTATTACATATTACCTATTATAATACCGTGTTTTATTACCTTTTTAATAATAATAAAATTATAAAGTTTTATTACCTGTTACCTATAACCTAATTACATAATATATTTTATTTTAAAATTTTAAAATACCGTGTATTAATAATGTGTATTAATTCCATGTATTAGTACCGCGTATTAAATAAGTATAATAATGGAAAGTTTAGAACATAATTTAGTGTATTTTTACTATTTAAAAATGTAAACACGGGTTTTTCCTTATTAACATTCCTTATTAGTATTGTTTATATTATTCAATAGTACCTATTACAATACCATGTTTTATTACCTTTTTAGTAATAATAAAATTATGAAGTTTTATTACCTATTTCCTAATTACATAATTTATTTTAAAATTTTAAAATACCGTGTACTCCGTATTAATTTTCAATAATACCTAATCTATCTATAAATTTCCTAATCTATCTATAAATTTCTGTAAATTATTGATATATTTGATATATATATTTAATAGTAATACAAATTTTCAATAGCAATATTTTTCGTGTATTAATATAGATTTAAAAATGGAAAAACGGTTCTATACACATTTAGCATTTAACACATACCATATCAAAAAATAAAAGCATTTAATATTTACCAATATTAATATTTTAAATAGCAACATGGTGCCATGATATTAAATAATAATAAAATTACAAAGTTTTATTACCTAATATATTTTAAAATTTTAAAATAACAGCACGGTGCCATGCTATTTAATAAAAATAAAATTAATAAATTTTAAATAAGAATATTAATACTGCGTATTAAATAAGAATAATAATGGAAAGTTTAGAATATAATTTCGTGTAGCATTTAACACATACCATATCAAAAAATAAAAGCATTTAATACTTACCAATTTTATGAGCACATACCTTATGTAATGGCCAACAGCATTGGGTGGGAAAAGACCCATGGAAATCCATGGCTTTTTAAATAATAGAAAGATTAAAATTACATTTTATATTCCTTTAGGCCCAGTAGTTTGGTACACGAAATTCAAATTATGGAATTGAAATTGAAGACTTCAATTCCAATTCAGGTGTTTGGTAGTACAGAAATTATGTGGATTTGCAATTAATAGTGTAAAAAATGAATTGAAATTGGTAGAATTCAATTCTATGGAATTGAATCCAATGGCATTTCAATTTCAGTTCAATTCCAATTCTGTCAATTCCGTATACGAAACGGACCCTTAATGAAATACTCCCTCTGTCCCTTAAAGTCGTTCCCTTATTGATTTTTTGAGAAATTAAGGAAAAAATATTTTGTTGTTGACTTTCCAAAAATACTCATAATATGATGGATAAAAGTAAGATGTGATGGATAGATTATTAGTGAAAAGGTGATATGTGATAGGTAGAGTATGAAAAAGTAAGGGTACAAAGTGGTTTTTTAATAGATAACGGAATGAGTTAGTGGGACAAGAAAAAAAAGAAAGGGAAACGAGTTTAAGGGACGGAGGAAGTAACATTTTAAAATTTTTACAAGAAAGTCTATTGGTATATCATACATTTTGATTTAATTAATAATCAAAATTTGAAAATTTAAATTTTAAACTATTCTACCAACATGTAGTTCGTCATTGCAAAATATTTTTTAGATTTACATAATAATTTTATTATTTAAATAATATATATAGACTTCATTATTTTTTTAAAAAAATATTCTTGAAAGCTATTGACCTTTTATTTTATTATATTTCAAAGTCAAATGTGTATGTTAATATATGTGCATCTATATTTAAATTGTATTTTTATTTCGAATTCTTTATCCATTTGCATTTTTAGTTTTATTAGTTTGAAGTAATATATAATTCATTCGATATATTACATGTATTTTTTTTGTCTTTGTTCTATTCTTTTTTATAAAAATAAAGATTAAAAAGATTTAAGGATAGTAAATGATCATTCAATACATGGATATCATTATTACATTGGGATAGAATAATATTTCATGGTCATGTAGACATTGAGTCGATCAATTAAAAAACTCATTAAAGAAATCTTTATCGTACGGCTCATAATTCTATATTAAATATGACATGTATACACTACTAGAATCTCGCGTATAAGCTGCAAAAAAGCAGTGGATTTTTTTTTTTGCCTCTAATTAACTGCAACGGAGAGGGGGATTATTCACCCTCTATTTCAAAGTTTCATTAGCGGGTTATATTTCTGCCGCTAATTTCATAGCTAATTGAAATAAATTTCAATTGCATAATCACGAGATAAAATTTAAATAATAAAAATAGCAGTAGAAGTATAAATCTATTTTTTTTAAAAAAAGAATTGAATTAGGCGGTTTAATTGAAAATAAAGAAATAGGGACACTTTTCTCCCCCTTTGCTCCCTATTATTTTCTCTAATAACCTATGGTATCCATTTACTTATCCGCGAAAAAACCCTATCTCTCTTCTAAACCTCTCTCTGGTCGATTAAGGTCAGAAGAAAAAAGTTCGCCACTTCGCCGTTCCTGGAGGCAGAGCCGTCGATCCTCGTCGTTCCTATCTTCTTCGTCTCCATCGAGATACCTCGACACCGGGCAGTGGTCTTCCGATCCTCATAGAGTACCACGATTCCGGTCCATCCCACTTACCGACGGTGCATACGCCCGCCTCAGCCGCCGTGTGAAGCCAACATCACAACCCCAATCTCTACTGCCTCCAATTTACAGGTTTTACTTTATCTTGAAAATACTCTAATTGTTCAATTATGTGAATTTCTTTGCATATCTCTTGAAAATACTCTAAATTCTTCAATTATGTGAATGAAATTATTCTAATTATTCAATTATATGGATTTGTTTACTTAATTTTTGTTACCTCAATTTGATTTTTGATTTTCTTTTTATTGATATACTTTTAGATCAGTCTTTTTAATAAATTTTTTTATCTAAAAAATATGAAAGAATCAAAATTATTTTTTACTAGTTTTTATTTTTCACACCTAATAGTTTTACAGTAGGTTTAAAAAACAAATTTTGAAAATTTTATTTGAGAGCTCAATGTTGATTTTTGATTCTCCAAGAAGGGAAATTTTATTTCTCATTAAAAAATACTCCATTTTAATGAAGGGAAAACAAGAGACGATGAAGCAGGCCAAAGAAATGCTTTCTTCTTTTCAATGGGAAGTAAAAAAATGTGAAAAGTTAGAAAGAGTTTTTTTTAAAAAAAAAATTGTAGTTATACACGAAAAAAGTTAAAAGAAATTGAAATGATTTGATATAGTTAAAATATGTTAGAAAATATCAAAGAAATTGATGAAATTAAATAGGCTGGGAGTTAAGAAATGTGAGTTACATTAAGAAATTGAAAATAGAGGGGAACATTATTGGAGAATCGAGGAAGAAAGAAGAGTATCTGTGTTTCACTGAACATTATTGTGCATGTTATTCTTTCTTTTACGACATTGTCAACAGAGGGGAACAACTCTGCTGTAAGCATCAAGTTGCAGCAAGACTTGCTGATGCGCTGGGAGAATGTGTTGATGTAATGGTGTCCGATGAGGAACTTGCGTTCATGCTTTCTCAGCTTTGATGGAGGAGCAGTTATTTGGAGTCAATTTTGCCAGAAAACAATGGAGGAAGACATCAACTAAGGTTTTTAATTATTTAAGCATGTTTCAATAATAAAAGCTACATCTCCTTGCCTAATGAATCTGTATTAGCTACCCTCTTGTGGACAGGTGTGGTAGGTCAAATGCCATTTCTTCTTGCCTCTTTTAGTCTTTTTAGTACACCCTTTGGGTATGATTTTGCCACTTGCCACCCCTCAACTATCAAATATGCTCCATATTCCAAAAATAAGCTTTTCAATTTATTATACCAAAACAGGACTAAAAATTTGTATGTATGTATGTATGTATGTATGTATGTATGTATGTATGTATGTATGTATGTATGTATGTATGTATGTATGTATGTATGTATGTATGTATGTATGTATGTATGTATGTATGTATG